AGGTGATCATGTCGATCCTCATCTTCAGCCTCCTGGGGTCCATCGCCCCCGAGGCCCCCCGCACCCGCCAGGACGAGCTGAAGAACGGCCTCTTCTCGACCATCGCCTTCGTCCTGGGCGCCCTCACCTCGTGCCTCTCCGGCTACCTGGGCATGAAGATCGCGACATACGCCAACGCGCGCACGGCGCTCGAGGCGCGCCGCGGCATCGCGCCCGCGTTCATGTGCGGTGAGCACCCCGGCCCCAGCCTCCCTGCGGCCCGCGCGCACGCGGCCGCGCGGCCGCGCGCCGTCAACACGCACACGTCAGGCTGCGCCATGCGAGGAGGCGCCCACAACGCATGCAGCGGGCGAGCGCGCGGGCGCGCCTGCCTTGACTGAGTCAGCGTGTGTGCGTGACCCCCAAATCCTCTCCCTCACACCCGCAGCATTCCGCTCCGGTGCGGTGATGGGCTTCCTGCTGGCCAGCCTGGGTCTGCTCAACCTGTACCTCGCCATCGTGGCCTTCGGCAAGGTGGGTAGATGAAATCATGTCCGTGCATGATGGGTCCAGACCCTGATCCAGGTCTTGCCTGTCCGCGAGCAGGCGCGTGGGGAGAGAGTGCAAGGGCAAGGCGTCAAGGGGCTCGCACGTCAGTGTGGGTCGCGCACACAGGAAACAGGGGGCGGCCCCTTCCTCTCTGCCCGCTTGGCCGTCCTCTTGGGACCAAACCTCAATGCTGTGGTTGTGGCAGCTGGCGCTGCAAGCCCCCTGCGGGTGGACGCAGCAGCACGTGCGCGAATGCGCCACACAGCCACGCAACTGACAGAGCTGTCGCCGGCCGCCGTTCAAATGTGCAGTTCTACGGCGACGACTGGCAGGGCCTGTTTGAGGCCATCACCGGCTACGGCCTGGGCGGCTCCTCCATCGCGCTGTTCGGCCGCGTGGGTGGCGGCATCTACACTAAGGTGCGTTCATCAGGGGGCGCTTGCATTGCGCATGTGCATACAGAAGTGTAGGAGGGCGCGTGGGCGGGAGGCGGCGGGGGCCGAAGGCAGGGCGGGCGGCGGGCGTTTTCCCCCTGTGGCGCCGGCTTCGGATGGCCCGCGGGCGGCGGAAGTGTTCTTGTGGGGGAGTTGGGTCTGCACCTACACATGTGCACGTCTATGTGATGGGATTTGGGGGCAGGGCGCAGCTGCATTAGGGTCTGACGCGTGGGGCCATCTCTGTGTGTGTGAGTGTGTGTTCTTGTTTTTGATGGGGTGGGTGTGTGCTCGCGCGCGTGCGTGTCTGTGTGTGTGTGTGTGTGTGTGCGCGCGCACGCGACGAAATTGAGCAGCCCAGCCTCTCTGGGGACGACAATCTGCTGCAATTCACGCCCTCGTGATCAACCCCCGAGCCACCCCAAGGCAGTGGCCGGCCGCCAACTCCACCCCCCGTTCAACCAACCGACGCCCACCGAACGCAACCGACAACGATCAGGCCGCTGATGTGGGCGCTGACCTGGTGGGCAAGGTGGAGAAGGACATCCCCGAGGACGACCCCCGCAACCCCGCCGTGATTGCCGGTGAGTCCAAACCTCTTTTAAGTACGATCGATCATGAAGCAATCGGCCATTCTTTTACGTGCTGGGCGGTCGGGGCGCCCACGTGGCCGGGTTGAGACAGCCCCTCGTCCGCCAGGCCTGCAGAGGTCCGCAGCGGCCTGTTTCTGCCGGACTGTGTGCTGGGCAGTTGCTCAAGGCAGGTGGCATCGGCTGCCTCTCCTTTCGCGTGCGTACTCTGCGCATTGGCCAACCCCCAAAAACGAACTCGACCCGCAGACAACGTGGGCGACAACGTGGGTGACATCGCCGGCATGGGCGCCGACCTGTTTGGCTCCTTCGCCGAGGCCACCTGCGCCGCCCTGGTCGTCTCCGCCGTGTCGTCCCTGGGCAGGAGCCACGACTGGCCCGGTGAGCTTTTTCGGGCAGCGGCGTGGCGGTGACGGGCCGCAGAGGGCGTACGGGCGTGCGTGCGCATGTGCCCCAGCCGCTGAGCATGCATGGGACTGGCTCGTCCTTGACGAATACACGACCCACCATCGGGGCCCCAAGCC